CCTAAACCATTACTATATACGTACTGTTTCTACCTCTAAGACATATACCATTATAAAAAACCACCCCCCCCAGGGCGTGACTTCTCTGGCCCCCTCTCTCTTTTTCTGTCAGACCAATGAACCTTTCCCAGGAGCATTCCCAATAAAGGCTCTACATTTCTATTTTCTTGTGTGGTTGACCCATTTCTTACATTTGGTGCTGAAACCTGGAAGGAGTTTTGTGTCCCAACAGTCCCCATGAGGGCCTCTCCTCCCCTGAACCAGGAACTGACCTACCAACTGCTGAGTAAGCACCTGCCCTGGCCTTCTGAGGTTAAGTCTATTTGCCCATGGATTCCAGGACTCGAACCTGCGGATTCCCTGTTGGAAATCGTGGCCGCGAGGGTTCCCTCTGACTCCTGGAGCTCAGGTGATTGTGAAGACCTCTCAATCCCCTGCTGCCCATCCCCCATTCCACTCTGTGAGCGCAAAAAGAGATTTAGAACACCCTTCCTTTTCCGCTCACTTGAGTCCTGGACACAATGGGTAATACCGAGTCCATCACCGAGCCAAAGACAGCCTCTGGGCTGTCTGCTCTATAACTTCACCAAATTAGGACTCGCTCAGGATGTCCGCCACAAGCGGCTGATATTCTACCCCACTGTGACTTCGCCAGAATACGCTTTGGACAAGGGTCTAAAGGGACTCCTGAGGGAACTTTCGATTACAATACTCTCACTGATTGGATGCCTATTGCCAAAGGGTCGGCAAATGGTCAGAGGTTCCATATGTCCAAGCCTTTTGGGATCTGCCTTCCCACCACTCCCTCTACACTTACTACACTACTGCCCAAGTCCTTCTTGCAACCAGAACCCCACACAGTCTAAGAAAAAAACCTCTCTTAGCGGCTGATCTCTCTCCTATAGACGGACCACCCAAAACTCTTACCTCCCCCCCTTCCCAGTGCCTCCCTCAAGAGTCCCCCATCATACCCCAGTTCCATTTTGACACCGCCAGTCCCAGGTCCCCTCAGAGCTCCCCCGCCTTCACTGCTACCTCCTCCATGTCCTTTGCTCTCATCCCCTCTTCACCATCTCCAGTTAGTTCACATACCCACTCACACTCTCACCCTTCTTCCATCCCTCCCCCCAGTTCTAACCTTCTCTGTCCTCTCCAGGCAGTGGCGGGAACTGAGGGTATTGTCAGGATCCATGCTCACTTTTCTTTCCAAGATTTATCTGAAATAGAAAAAATACTTGGTTCTTTCTCTGCTAACCCCATGGCTTTTATGAAAGAGTTTTGCCATCAGGACCAGCAGATGGTGTAATGGCTATGTCACTGGACTCCCGTATAGTCAACTGTGGTTCGAGTCCTGGACCTGGTGGCTTAAACTCACAACAGGCACGTATGCATGTGTGCCCAAGATCCCAAGAGGAGAATGGAGGAGAAGGGAGTGCAGCACAGCCATCCCTCCTGGGGGTAGATTTCTCACTTTGTCTCTCTGTCTCTCTGTGTCTTTCTGGTGAGCACATGTGCCCTATAGCAAAAACCTCTCCAAAAATAAAATAAAATAAAATAAATAAATAATAAAAGAAAGAGTTCTGCCATCTTGCTCAGGCCTATAATCTTACTTGGCATGACCTCTATGTAAACCTGTCCTCCACCCTTACTGCGGATGAGAAAGAGTGAGTCCAGGCTGCGGCCCGAGAACATGCTGACCAAGCCTGCCAGGTCGACACAACTTTACCAGTCGGACAAGCGGCCGTTCCTGTTACCGACCCTCAATGGGACTATCATGAAGAAGACTCTGGCCCAAAAAACTGAGACTACATGATTCAAAGTCTCCTGGCTGGAATGCATGCCATCTCTAACAAAATTGTCAATTTTGACAAACTCCAGGAAATCTCCCAGGGGGCAGAAAACCCAGCTGTGTTCCTCAATCTCCTTACAGAGGCCTTAAGCCTTTCTACATGATTAGATCCCACTTCACCAGCTGGGGCCATGGTTTTGACATCTCACTTTATTACTCAGTCAGTGCCTGATATCCATAAGAAACTTAAAGGGACAGAGGATGGCCCTCAGACCCCTGTGAAATGCCATCTGGTAAAAATGGCATTTAAGGTTTACAATGCCAGGGAGGAAGTGGCTGAGGCTAAATGCCAAGCCTACCTTCACCACAAGGTGGCACTCCAAACCCAGGCCCTGGTAACAGCCCTGAGGCCTGCGGCTTCACAGGGGCACAAGAATGGGGCTTCCTCATCTCAGTCTGTTCCCCTGGGACCATGCTTCAAGTGTGGGAAGACGGGCCACTGGGCTTGACAATGTCCTTGCCCCTGACTGCCCACCAAGCCACATCCCAAGAGCAAACACCCAGATCACTGGGGAAGTAACTGCCCAATGGTGGACTTATCCCTAGTGCCTCCACGTGGAAGACATTTCAGCCAGGTGGTCTCCTCTTGGAAGCTGTTGGGACTACCACACACTAAAAAGGCCTGGACTCGAAGATCCTCATCACCCTCTCTGAGCCCAGGGTAATGCTACAGGGAGTGGGGTAAGTCCATCTCCTTTCTTGTGGACACGGGGGCTACCTACTCTGTCCTGCCCTCCCATTTGGAGCCTCTTTTTCCTTCTCAGATCTTGGTCACAGGAGTAGATGGCACACCCTCCTGCCCATGTAGGACAGCCACCCTAGCCTTCCATATGGAGGGACAACCTTTCTCCCACTCCTTTCTAGTTATGCTGTCATGCCTAGTCCCCCTCCTGGGCAGAGACATCCTTCACCAATTGGGAGCTACTCTCCAACTTACAGCTGCAGCCCCTGTCGCTCACTTTCTCCTCCCTCTCATCTGTTCATCCATTGACTCTAATCCTTCCAGCCCTTCCTCCTTTCCTCTTCCCCATGAAGAAGTTAAACCTGTTGTCTGGGATACTTTTGAACCAGTTGTGACTTGCCACTCTTATTCCCCTGAAGGACCCCACCAAGTTTCCCTCCCAACCCCAAGTCCCTATCTCCAAAACACACTGTAAGAGCCATAAGCCTATTACCACCTGACTTCTCACTCACGGACTCCTCATTCCTACAAACTCTCCACGCAACACTCCCCGTCCACAAGCCATCAGGGGCTGACCACCTAGTTCAGGATCTCTGCCTCATCAAAGAGGCAGTCATTCTTCTCCATCTGGTAGTTCCCAACCTATACACGCTCTTATCCCACATACCACCAATCACCACTCACTCCACAGTCCTTGACCTCAAGGATGCCTTTTTCACTATCCCCCTCCACCCAGACTTCCTGTTTACTTTCACCTGGGAGGACCCAATTCACACTCTGCCCAACAGCTTACCTAGACAGTCCTCCCCCAGGGCTTCTTCAAAATTGATGTGCCCTAGACCTACTGACAGCAAAAAAAGGGGGCACCTGCCTGTTCCTCAAGGAAAAATGCTATTACTACATCAACAAGACAGGGCTGGTTGAACAAAACATCAGTGTTCTCAGCTCTCTAAGTGAAGAACTATGGTGCCAGCAGCAACAGCCCACTTCTGTTTTCCCAGACTGGTGGCAACCTACCCTCATCACCTAGATTGCCCCTATTTTAGGACCATTAATTCTTACCTGCCTTGTCTTCATGCTTATACCCTGTTTTCTCAGGTTCCTCTGAAGCCAAATCCAAAGTTTCCCAGGTGGCTGTCAACCAAATGTTCCTCCATCAGTACACACAAGTTCCCACCAAGCCCCCAGCCCCGACTTCCCCTCTTTGTCCCAACTCAACACAGCAGGAAGTAGTTAATGATTGAACGGAACCCTATAATACCAAAACGGTCAGGATGTTAGGCTGGAGGCCTGGGCAGCTTGGATGTGAGGGTTGGATGCCACGTCACAGTTGGCTGAGGCAACCCGGATCTAGTCTGTCATTAGACCTGTATAGCTGCACTGAGATCTAACCCGGATGTAGCACACGGGGCTCTACTTTGCACATGGCACCAGACCTTACATGGCATGGTAATCTGCTCTTCCCTTAAACCACTACCATACATGGACTGTTTCTACTGCTAAGACATTCCCCCTCTCCATACCCTTATAAAAATCGCTGAACCTCACCCTAGGTGCCGGGGACCAGCCTCGGAGGGGGTGGGTTGGTTCGACGGAGGCGACGCTGGAAGAAAAGAAAGACAAAGGCCTCGCGCTTTTTCATGCACGTCCTAAGCCGGACACTCCTCTAAGATCGCTCTCTGAGGAGTGACAACTGCTAGGAAATATCGTGCCTTTTTATTGAAAATGGGATACATGCAAGTAAATGGGAGAGGGGCTACGTGACCTAATGATTAATTCATAAAGTTTTAACAATTGAATCAGAGATTCTATTCAAGTTTTAATTAAGGGCGGATCTATTAATCATTGATACAATTCGACAATAGATTGATGTAAGCAAGCTTTTGGAAACTTCTGTTCTGGGAGCGTGGTTTCGGAGAACAGTTTCAGCAGGCAGAGTTAATTATCAGCCAGTACTTGGCGGCAGCCGTCTTGCGGTTACTGGTTGCATTGCTAGAAAAGAAAATCTCAAGTACAGATATTAGTTTTTATAACTCTCAATAAAAAATGATATTTATATAATTTTGTAGAGATGTAAAATTGATTAAAGGAATCCTAATATATTTGCCTATCCTGAAAGGGTGAAGTTAGTGTTCACTTGATGAGGGTGGGGATACAGCCCTTTCAACTGGTGGTGAAGTGACTAATGAGTTAATGGAAAACTTTGTGGCACACCTAGGCATTCTTATTGTGCTTGTGGCACCACCGTCATGTATTTTGTCAGAACATTAGCTACAATCGGGGAGTCAGAGGGGGGTCACTTCCCAGCAAGGCTATCACAGTCTCGGAGCGAATAGCAGGCGGCCTTGCCGACATGCTAAGTGACCCAAGCTTGTTCCATGGTCGGGGGGCGTACAGTCGCGGCCTTGCCAGCTCACTGAACCGACCGGAAGCAATGCTCAAAGGTCAAGGGGCTCAGACGGGTCCTGGAGCCCCGCCGGGTCGGACTCCTCCACTAGGGCACAACTTCTCTGGCCCCCTCTCACTTTCTCTGTCAACCCTCAAACCTCGCCTGGGAACATTCCCAATAAAGGCTCTACATTTCTACTTTCTCCTATGGTCAGCCCATTTCTTACAGAAAGTACAGCTTTATTGCAAAGTGCAAAGCAGAGAGAGTGGGCAGCTCATGCTGCAAAGACCTGGTCACCCTGAGATGTTTCTCACATGTGTTTTTAAGGGCAAAATTAGGAGCAGGGGTCATAGGTGCATTATAAATTCAGTGACTGGTTCAAGAAGATGTAATCATCTCGTGGGCATTCTTGATTGGTGAGGTGTTATATAATGAAATTTCTCTTCAGGTTTCTGGAGCCATTCAGCCTGGGGTCTTTGAGCCCACAGCTAACAGTTTCCATCCTATAAAACATCTTACATATTGAAATGAAAACCTTATCTTTCCTTTAAATGAGAGTTTTAGGGGTCAAATGGCCTTTATTTATGGTCAATATAGTTGTTTTATTATCGTAACCAAAGTCTGAAGACTTACTCCTTACTCAGGGCCATTACAATGTAAACGGACCTTATATTTCAAGAAACTTAGGGAATATATTGGGGTGGGGGGGTCCTGGCTCAGTTTCAGTTTGAGTCCTGGACCTGGCAGCTTAAAACTTGGTAGGGGGCCCAGCAGTTAGCGTAATGCCTATGTCACTGGACTCCCATGTAGACCACCGCAGTTTGTGTCCTGGACCCAGAGAAGTTGTTAAAGCAAAACAGTAACTACAATAAATATGTTAAAATAAATTTAAAATTCTTGAGCTTAAAGGTCATTTGTCTGGCCAGGCCACTGGGTGGTGTGGTGGTTAAGGTTGCTGGATGTTGCAGTTTGAGTCCCAGACTTGGGGCATGAAAAACATGCCCTGACCCTGTGCATGGGCACTCAAAATCTTCAGAGAATGGAGAAGGGATTGTGAATGGCCATGCCCAGTAGTGCTCTTTTTCATTTTCTCTGTCTCTCCCCCACCAACGCATACACTCTATAAAATATTAAAATAAAATGATAGGGGCGGCAAGTGGTGTGGTGGTTAAGGCCTTTGTATTCTCCACACGGCCTACCATGGCTCAAGTCCCGACCTGGTGGCTTGCTTTCTCACTTTCCTTCTCTCTCTCATTCCATCCCTCTCTGTTCAAATTAAAATGAATAAAGCTCAAGAATATAATTTAAAAAATACAATGACAAATTTGAATTTAAAGAGAGCCTCTTTAGTTTCAGACATTTTCTCCTTGTCCGCCGACTTCATAGTTATTTTCATTCCAAATGCTAAATCAACATTTAGGCTATTTTTAGGTGATTTGCCATCTGGAACTCTTTCATTTTCTGAGAGAGGAAGCGCCTGGAGGACACACATATACACAGGAGAGGCACTAAGAACAGCTTGAAGTAAAGATCAAGGTTTATTACTGGGGCCACCTGGGAAGAGCCAATGAACTAGAGGAGTTCCTCGTTTTCCCTTTCCCATTTTTCTCAACTTAGTCTTTAAAATGAACAAAGCCTTCGCAGAAAGCAGGTAAAACCGCACACCCAAGCACAGCTCCCCAGGGGAGCAGAGGTCGCAAGACAGCTGCACCGACGCACTCGAACAGCAGCAACGCAAAGAAAACAAGTCCCAGGAAGCGACTTCCGGTGGAGGTGGGAGGGGCGGCTGGTTTCCGGTTTCAAGGCCAACGACGCTGTCGCGCAAGCGCGCTTCTCACTTTCCTGGCCTGTCTCCCCTCCCCCGCCCTCCCCCAAGCCTGAGGGGTCTTGAGGTGACAGCGCCTGGAACCGGGACTCCCGGAGGAGGAGAAGATGGACAAGAGGAATCTCGGGCGGCGGCGATCTTCATCTGGTAAGAAAGCGTCGAAGGAGGACTGAGCGGACTGCCCCCTGCCCTGGGCAAAGCGAGGCGCTGTCGGCCGCGGGTGTTGAGGCCTGGAGTCGCGACGGGCAGGGCGGGGAGGGCGAGCACAATGGAAGGCTCCCGGGGCGCCCCCGCCCCCTCGAGTCGAGGATCGAGTCCAAGCTGTCATCGAAGCCTCGGCCGCTCGCTCGTCTGCACCCTTTCGTTTTATTCCTCCTCCGCCGAACACCCTCCTTGCGTCTCGTCGGCCCAAGGATCTTCCCGGTTGGCTTCTCGCTCTCCTGCCACGCCTTCCTCGTAATTCCACCAATGTTCCAGTTAGGTTTCTCGCGCCTGACCCCACTTTCTTCTCTATTCCTTTCATTCTGACGTTGCCTCTCGCCCTGGCCCCCACCCCCGGGCAGGTAGCAGCCACTGCAGGGATGGCTAGGCGGGCCTCGCTAATTGACACTTCGTCCCTGGGCCAAGTGCCTCCCGGTCTGCTGAACTGGCCGGCTTGGGAGCCCTGTTCTTTTCCAGCCTGCTCTTGCATATTGCAACAATGCTTCAAAAGTCGATGATGGTTTTGATGCCGTGCTTTCATTTTTTTTTAATAGTCTCAGTATATTTTTGGTTTTGAATTTGCTTATGAATTTTGTGTCCTGCGTCTTGGAAACTATGTGGAGTTAAAGACCTGACATAGAGCGCCTCCCACTCAAAAAGGTTTTGACAAACTTGTTATCCATTAAGGGCACTTCTAGTCCTGGGTTAAGTCCTGTAGATCTCTAGGGAATGAGAGGAGGAGGAATTACAAGCTTATATGCAGTACCGAAACTTGATGAGTCAATATTTTCATTTCATTTTTTTTTTTCATTTCTTAGTTATTGAGGAGTGACCTGTGGCAGTGCATCTCGAACTTTTTACTGGCCTTAACTTCAGAGGAGAGTGAACGCGTATCACTGGGGACGTTGTCTGAAAGTTTAAAACCTGAGATTCTGAGATCACTTTCACAGGCAACCAGTGTCACTAATTTTTTTGTGTGTGTGTGTATTCCAGAAATATTAGATAGTCTTTGTGTTTGGAAGTATATGTGTGATATGTATGTATGTTTACGTACGTATGTGTATGTTCTAACAGATCAGTATTTGTTTCCTTCACTCCCATAAAAACCTTTAAAATAGACACATTAGGAAAATGAACAGTGTTTATCTGGTATCATTTCCATGCCTCTTACACAGAACCTTAGATGTAATCATACCTCCATTTCAGATGTGTAGCCCATTTTCAATAAATGCATTTTATTTTGCCTCAATACATTTTTTTAGTGCAGGAAGGCAAGATTAGCTCCCTCCTTCACATCTCGTTCCCTTCATCTTTTTGCACTTAGACTTATTTATTACTTAAGATGTATTTCTTTAAAAAAAAAAGGAAGAGAAAAAAAACATATATGTGTACATAAGTATGAAAGTAGAAATGGAATATTATTGATGATAACATGCTTGATTAAGTCACTGTGCAGTTTATTTTAGATGGGAAATTACATTTAGTGCGTTGTGATGATGCTCAGGGAATGAATGTTAGGTAACAAAAAAAAAAAAAAGAAAAGTTGCAGGAGGAAAAAAAAAGAAAAGGACGGTAAAACTATTCGTACCATTTAAAAAAAAATGCATATTTGATGACTGCAGTGAGCTGTATGGGCCCAGCTGGGTTCTACTTTATAGTATGCTCTTTCTACTCACTGGGGTTTATGCCTAAAGTCAGACTGGAGTTCATGTATAGGTATGTGTCAGCTGTGATAACTATTGGATATATTTAGACTAATTAAGTTCACTGGCAGATCATTTGAATGGGTAGGGGGGAGGCATGGAGGACAACCGTGGATGCCAGGGACAATGTGGGAGGAGGATGGGTCATAGCAGAGGGAGGGGGATGGGGAATCTAGGATGGCAAAACAAAAGACAAGGTATGCAGGACATAAGAATTGGGAAATTATTTGCTGAGAACATGTATGTTGATGTGCTTGATTGAGCCTATGCACAGTGTATTTTGGATGGAAAATTCATTTGTGTGTTGTGATGGAAAAAAATTATAATAAAAAATAAATTATAAAAAAAAGATGTATTTCTTTGATGCATGTAGTTATGGGAAGTGAATTTTAAGTATAAAAGTGTTAATACTTAAAAAATAGTGATGGGATCAGCAGGTGGTATGGTAGTAAGGGCACTGAATTCCCACATGGCTGTCTAAGGTTCCAGTCCTGGATAGGTTTTTTCACTTTCTCTGTTTCTCTCTGGTGAGTGCATGTGCCCTATAGCAAATTAAAAAAAAATAAAGAATTCTTTAAAAAAAGATACTGTTGGGACCAGCAGTTAGCATAATGGCTATGTCGCTGGACTCCCACATAGTCGACCGCGGTTCGCGTCCCAGACCCGGTGGCTTAAAACTCAGGCTGGGCACGTGTGCGTGCGTGCCCAAGATCCCGAGAGGAGAGTGGAGGAGAAGGGATTGTGGCGTGGCCATCCCCCTCGGGGAGTGATTTTTCGCTTTCTGTCTCTCTGTCTCTCTCTGTCTGGCGAGCGCACGTGCCCTATAGCGAAAACCTCTCAAAAAAAATATATATATATATACTGTTATTTGTGTTAGTTATATCTCTAGAGAGGATTTTTTCCTCTGATGACTTCCATTTTGGAGTTGTCCTTTCTGAAAAGTAATGTATAATAAAACCCATTCCCAAATCTAATGTTTATCCTCCTGTATTCCTCTGGTATGAAGATATGAATATTAATTTTTAAGTATGCTGTTTACTAGTGTATATTTAATTTTCCTATATAATTTTTCAAAACCCAAGCACGATTAACTGGCTAAAAGGGATTCTGTGTAATAGTTATATGATGTGTGGCCATTTCATTAGGCATCGTTGCTAACTAGAACCCAAATGGGGTGATATTTATAGTCATCAAAGTTTCATTAGTGCACAAAGAGAGGAATCTGATTAATAAAATATGAAGAAAAGACAGAAATAAGGCAGATAGCAGTAGAAATAAAACAGAAACAAAGCTTGAAGTTTTGTCTGAGACTGCACTAGGGTTCCTTAACTTTTTTCCTGAAAAGGAAAATCTATGACTGTTTACACAGTGTTTTGCTCAGAACTCTTTAAGCTATAAGTAGCAGAAGCCAATTTCATTCAGTTAAAAGCTAAATTTTACACAAGTATTTGTTACTCATATAACTGTGAACTGTAGTATCTCAAAAAAACAGTAAATTGGGCTGTCAGGTGGCACGATGATTAAGGGTGCTGGACTCCCACATGGCTGACCACAGTTTTGAGACCCTAACCTAGCGGCTTACTTTCTCACTTTCCTTCTCTCTCTCTTCCTCTCTGGTCAAATGAACATAAATACATAACTAAAAAAAAAGTTAAATAAAATAATTCTTTTAAAAAAAATCCAGTAAATCTGAGGGAAAAACAGATTTTAAAAACAGATTAGATGGGACCATCAGGTGATGTGGTGGTTAAGGTGCTGGATTCCTACATGGCCAACCATGGCAGCTTGAAAATTATGCCAGGCATGTGAGCATGCCTGCCTGCAATCCTGAGAGGAGAATGGAGGAGAAGAGATTGATGTGTGGCCATCCTCCCTGGGGGGTGATTTCTCACTTTCTGTCTCTGGCAAGCATATCTGCCTCATGACAGAAACCTTAAAAAAAAAAAAGAAAAGTTCACAACATTTAACACAGATGTAGTAGAGTCATAGGCTACAATTTTCAGATGAATTTTTGAATTAAAACAGCAAAGTTCTAGTAAATCTCAGATTTTCAGCTGTTTGCTTTAAGTAACATCCTTGGTTATCAGTGTCATTCTCATTCCTAGTTAAGAATATGTATGGTTTTTGGGTGTTTAGGTATTGTGCTAAGAACTTTGCAAACTTTATTTCTTTCAAAAGCTTTTTTAAAGAGATTTTTGCTATTTGGTGTGTGTGCTCACTGGAGACTCAGAGAGAGACATAGAGACAAAAAGTTAGAAACTACCCCCTGGGAGGATGGCCATCCCACAGTCCCTTCTCCTCCATTCTCCTCTCAGGATCTTGGGCATACATATACATGTGCCTGGCATGAGTTTTAAGTCATGGGATCCGGGACTTGAACCATGGTTGATTATGTGGGAGTCCAGTGATGTAACTAACCATTACGCTATCTGCTGGTCCCTCATAAGCCTTCTAAGGTGGTCTGTCTTTCTTTTTAAAGTTTATTCATTTTTGGGCTGGCAGGTGGTGTGGTGGTTAAAGATGCTGGACTCCCACATGGCTGACCACAGTTCAAGTCTCAGATCTGGTTGCTTACTTTCTCACTTTTTCTTTCTCTGGTCAAATTAAAACAAATAATAATAATAAATAAAGTTAAATGAAATAATTTTTAAAAAAAAGTTTATTCATTTCTTCCATGAGAGAGGAAGGGAGAGGTATTGCCAACATTGTGTGTGCCCCTATCCTGTTCCCCACATCAGTCAGCCAGGATCACGGGTACCCATTGTTCATGGGTAGAACTTGGGACACGAACCTGGACCTTCCCACATGGCTTAGCATTACATAGGATTGCATTAATGTTGTGCTACTGCAGCCCACCATAGGGTGGTTATTATTTTTTATTTACAGGTGAGGAAATTCAGATTTAGAGTAAAAAAGCAACCATAACATTAGCTAGTAAGAAGTAGAGTTAGGATTCAAAATTTGGTCTTTATATAAAAATCTGTTATAATTAGCATAATTTCAGGATGTTAATGAGCCTTACTTAAAAAAAAAGTTCCATTGACAATTAGTGTGATAATCATAGTTAGAAAAGTCTTCTTTTTCTTTTTTATTTAATATTTAAAAATGTTTTTGGAGTCTAGCAGGTGGCATAGTGGTTAAGGCACAGGATTCTCACTTGGTCGACTGAGGTTTGAGTCTGGGACCTGGTGATTTGAAACTCATGCCAGGTGTGTGTGTGCATGCCCCATATCCCAAGAGGAG